CCTTCTGCCTCATCCTCCTGAGTCACTGGGATTATAGGAGTGTACCACCACGCCTGGCTAGACTTACATTTGTATGTAGACTTACGTAAGAAGTAAAAAAATAAAGAAATGTGGGCAAAAATACACATTTGTCTGTTTTTGTTAATGATTTATGAAAGCCTTAATTTCAAATTATAATCTTATTTTATACTATTCTTAATTTAATAGTCTCTAATCCAAGTTGAAAATATATTTCAATATTATCTGGTGATCTAAAGGCAACTGAAAGCCTGTCGTGAGGAACACAATAAAACACTCAGGGTCACTCCAGGGGAACTGGGCTGCACAAAATAACCACACAAGAGACAGAGATACCTTCTTCTTTGGGGTCCTGTGATGGCTCCTCTGACCTTAAGGATCCACAGAAAGAGAGCAAGCAGGTGCAGAACCCTTTTATTGAGGAGAAGCCATTAAAATGAGGCAAAGGGTCAGGTTTCGGGGGGCTGAGTCTAGCTTCATGATGTCTGCTGTCAGCAGGTTGATTGACATCTAGGAAGGCCACACCCAAAGGCAGAGCAAGAGAAGGGGACACACAAAGGGCATTTCCATGGAACATTCTATGCCAAACAGGGCAAAAGGGTAATATCACAAAGGAACAGGTGAGTGTAGCTCAATCCATGGGGTGACACGCCTACTGTCTGAAGACACGTCCTCAAACTTCCGGGACTGGGGCAATGTCCAAGTCGCTAAGAGATGTAGTGCGGGTAAGAGCCTCTCTGCTCAGGGAAGGAAAATGCGAAATCATTCAGACTGGCTGCCCACAAAAGCCAAATTCTTTTTCTAGTTAATATGCAAACTGATAATTCATATTTTTTATTGTCTCATATATTTAACACTGCATATCACTTGCATTGTTTAAATCATTGAAGTAACATGGAAGATAAGTCGTTGATTAATTTCCAGTGACTGGGAAAAGTTACCTAGTGGGGACAAATGGACTATTAAATATTCAGAATCAAGACAATGGACACAGTTTCTTTAGCCAGGAATAAATCCAAGTGTTTTTGTGTTAAAATACAAGAATGGCACTAAGCAACTTAGTGAGACCAACTCTAAATAAAACACAAAATAGGGCTGGGGATGTGGCTTAGTGGTTGAGTGCCCATGAGTTCAACCCCTGGTGGTCTCTTCCTCTCCCCACAAAAACAAGAATGCTTTATGTTCTACCTATGTTTATACATAGCTACCATGTGAGTTATGGGTAAATACTGTACTGGCATCATCCTATTAGCCTAACTAAAGGCTGTGTTTAAAAAATTTCCCAGCTCAATGTACTTTTAAAAAGACATGATTTTTAAAAAGTTCGGATTTACAGAAAAATTGAGATTTTAGTGTTCCCACTTATGTCCTCTCCCAGTTTCTCCTATGATGATCATCTTACATTAGTAAATAACTTTTGTTATAGTGAATGAATGAAATTGATACATTAACTAAAAGCCATGGTTTATCCATATATATATATATATATATATATATGTATAAATATTTAACCTAATATCCAGAATCCTATGGGACACATTACATTGATGTATAATGTTCCATTAGGTTCCTCTGGGGTGTGGCAGTTTCTCTTTCCTTGTTTTTGATGACCATGACAGTTTTGAAGCACACTCTTAAATATTTTGTAGGATGATCCCCTTTCGGGATATGTCTGATGTTTTCCTCATGATCAGACTAAGGTTAAGAGTTTTGGAAGGAAGAGCAGCTCAATAATTTTCTTAAGAGAATTTGGTACCTACAGGTTAAAAACATATCTAAATTTCATCAAACTGTTACCATGGACATAACTCATGTATCATTTTTAGCACTATGCCTGTATAAAATAATGTGATGATAAAAGAGATTGCCTTTTTTAAAAAAAGAGGTAGATAATATAACACTACAAAGACAGCAAACAGTAGTCATCATAGCTCACTTTCCCAAGTCTGTTTTTTTTTGGCCTACTTATAGATGACAGCAGAACGCATTTCAATTCATCGTAATAGAGCACAACATTTCAATTCTCTGGTTGTACACGATGTAGGGTCGCACCATTCGTACAAACATGTATGTACCTAGGGTAATGATGTCTGTCTCATTCTACCATCTTTCCTGCCCCATGACCCATTCCCTTTCCACCCTCCCCTATGCCCAATCCAAAGTTCCTCCATTCTCCCCATGCCCTGCCCCCATTATGCATCAGCATCCACTAACCAGAGCAAACATTCGGTCTTTAGTTTTTTGGGACTGGCTTACTTGGCTTAGCATGGTAGTCTTCAACTCCATCCATTTACCTGCAAATGCCGTAATTTTGTTATTTTAATGCTGAGTAATTTTCCATTGTGAGTATATACCAGGTTCTTTATCCATTCATCTATTGATGGGCATCTAGGTTGTTTCCAGTTTAGCTATTGTGAATTGAGCTGCTATAAACATTGATGTGGCTGTGTCACTACAGTATGCTGATTTTAAATCCTTTGGGTATATACAGAGGAGAGGGATAACTGGGTCAAATGGTGGTTCCATTCCAAGTTTTCTGAGGAATCTCTATAGTGCTTTCTAAAGTGGTTGCACCAATTTGCAGTCCCACCAGCAATGTCTGAGTTTACCTTTTCCCACACATCCTCATCAACACTCATTGCTTGTACTTTTTTTTTTTGAGAGAGAGAGAGAGAGAGAATTTTAATATTTATTTTTTAGTTTTCGGCAGACACAACAACTTTATTTGTATGTGGTGCTGAGGATCGAACCCAGGCCGCACGCTTGCCAGGGGAGCGCGCTACCACTTGAGCCACATCCCCAGCCCCTCATTGCTTGTATTCTTGATAACGGCCATTTTGACTGAAGTGAGACGAAATCTTATAGTACTTTTGATTTGCATTTCTCTAATTACTAGAGATGTTGAACATTTTTTCATATATTTGTTGATCACTTGTATATCTTCTTCTGAGAAGTATTGTTCAGTTCCTTAGCTCATTTATTGATTTGATTGTTTGTTTCTTTGGTGTTAATTTTTGAGTTCTTTATATATCCTGGAGATTAGTGCTCTAGCTGATGTGCATGTGGCAAAGATATTCTCCCACTCTGTAGGATCTCTCTTCATATCATTGCTTCTTTTGTAACCCTGTTCTTCATGAGCTAAAATTACTGTGAAAGTCTGATGAAAATGCATAAATAACACATAGCTAGTTCAATTCTTTTTTTTTCCCCTTCTTGGTACTAGGGATTGAACCCAGGGGTATTTAACCTCAGAGCCATATCCCTAGCCCTTAATAGTTTGAGACTGGGTCTTACTAAGTTGCTCAGGATCTTACTAAGTTGCTCAGGGCCTAGCTAAATTACTGTCTTGCCTTGAACTTGTGATCCTGTGCCACTGCACCCAGCTAGTTCAATTCTATTTATCTTCAGAGGTAAAAGGTGAGGTTTATGTATATCTATATTTTCAAAGCACATTGTCACTTTTTTTTTTTTTGTCTACCAAATAAACAAATAAGCATTGTGCAGGATTCTGTAGCTTTTGGGGCAAAAATAGCCTGTCCCAAATCTGAGAAAAATTTCAGCAGGCAATCCTTTTCAAAGAATGGTCTCCTGCTAGGTGCAGTGGTATATGCCTGTAATCCCAGCAGCTCGAGAGGCTGAGGCAGGAGAATCCAGAGTTCAAAGCCAGCCTCAGCAAAAGTGAGGCACTAAGCAACTCAGTGAGACCCTGTCTCCAAATACAAAATAGGGCTGGGGATGTATCTCAGTGGTCGAGTGCAACTGAGTTCAATCCCCAATAACGCCCGCCCCACCAAAAAATTGTCTCTTCAGTGGTCTTCAAACCTTAAAGAGTGTTATCAGATCTATCTGAGTGCTTGTTAAAACACAGATTTCTGGCTGCCATACGTAGCAGTTTCTGATTTGGGATCTGGGCTGAGATCTCAGAGTATCCATTATTTTAACAAATTCCCAGATGATGCCATGGCTACTAGCCTGAGGCACACCATGAAAACCACTGCTTCACATTGAGGAAGAAACTACATTTATTCAGTGCCTATGATGATTAAGACATTTTACATATATAATCTTATTAACTGACTAGTTGTAGGATCTCAGCATGTGGGTATAATTTTCCTTTCCTTTAAGTGGAGAATCTTGGGGTATGGAGGCACTGAGGAACTCACCTCCTGAGAAGATAATGACATTACGAGCAAAACTACAACTCAGATGTCCACCCAGTTCTAATGTCCATGTTCTTCTAATACAGTATATTGTACTGCTTCTTGTTCATTAAAGGAGTGAAATATATAAATCTTCAGCATGCTCATTTGAAAAAAGGGAAAGTGGCCATGACTCTCAATGAAACCTAGGCAAAGGCTCAAGGTCATGGAGAAGAATCACTTGTTTCTGAACTTCTAAAATAAGGGAGAAGTGAATTTATTGTACAATTAACAAAACAGGATAAATTTATTTAATATAGAACTGAATATTCCTTAATTACTACTATTATTCATTACAGAAAACATATATTTAAATAAATCCTTAAGAGAATAATCTCATTAAATTTAAAGCAGCATACTATTCTTACTCTAAATGTCTGCCAGTGCACACTACATCATTAATCAACACACTTACTCTGAAGTAACACAGCATGGTGGTCTTCAGCAAAATACTCTGACAAGTGCTAAAATTTTTATCTTCTTTTACAAAGCAAATCAAAAATAGTGATATAACAATAAGCAATTTAAGTTATAAGTGGTACATTAATACCATAAATAGATTTAAAAAAATGAAGTTGCCAATAATATAAATTTGTTATTTTGTTATAAGGTATATAAAAAAGGCAAGGAGACACAAAATTACTGGGCTTCAGATTTAAAATAATTAGTGAGATCTAAATTTCAGAATGACAAAAAAATCACCCAACTCTCTATCTCTATCAAAACAAACACTTTATATAAGAAAGATTCCCTTTTAAATATTTATACACATATCACCATTAATACTGTTAATAAAACTCATATTTATTTAAATAAGAATTAATAAACTGCCCCAAATGCTGATTTTTATAGCACAAAGCATAATTATTTTAACTCAACACTTTGGGTGGCATATTGAATACAATGCTTCTTTAGATAATATTAACAAGCAAATTTTTAAGAATATAATTTCATCTACAGGTCAGATAAAGCTTTATTAAATGGTAAACACTTGTAACAGTGCAGAAATACAAGTTTCAAAAATAATACATTCAGAAGATCTGCTGTTCAAATAATATTTTCTCAAAACCGGGTGGAGGAGTATGATAAAATTCACTGAACTGGCAATCCAAAATTGCACTGTCATCAACTAGAAGATAGAAAAAGAAAGAAAATAAATTAGAAGCAAACACCTTTGGAATGAATGCATAATTACAAAATCTACTGTTTTTGGACTAGGGATGTAGCTCAGTGGGAGCACCTGCTTAGCAGGCATGAGGCCCTGGGTTCCATCACCAGCACCACAAAAAAGTTAAAAATAAAAATAAAATAAATTGTTTTCTTAATATCATAACAGGAAAGAAGAATAAACCTTTCTGTTGTCCAGGCTACAAAATCTATTAGTATTTAGTAAAAACAAACAAAAAGCAAAATCTATCAAAAACACTGGAAGGGTATACATCAAAACATTATTAATAATTATTTCATGCCAACTGCAGTGGCACATGCCTGTAGTCTCAGCTATTAAGGAGCTTGGGGGAAAGAGGATCTTAAGCCCAGGAGTTTGAGTGCAGCCTGGACAACAAAGAAAAACCCTGTTTCTTAAAAACAAAAACCTCCAGATGGTGTGAATATGGGTATTTCAAATATTTTTGGTATTTTCTCAATTTTATATAATTAAGATGTATTATTTTATACTATAATGGCTTTTTGGAAAAAATTATGGATTCGTGGGAATTTGCAAATATACTATAAGGAGTCTCATGTATCCTTCATTCAGCTTGCCCCAGTGGTAACATCATATATTCTTATACTACAATATCCCCAGGAAACTGACACTGATATACTACTGTGAACTAGACTACAGGTCTTATTTAGCTTCTTCTACATGTTTTTGTTTGTTTTGTTTTTTGTGGTAAATGGATTTAATCCAAGGGCACTCTATCACTGTGATATCCCCCTAGCACTCTTTATTTTGAGACAAGATCTTGCATAGTTGCTCAGGCTGGCCTCCAACTTGCAATTCTCCTGCCTCAGCTTCCTGAATCACTGGGATTACAGGCATGTATCACTGTGTCTGGCTTCTTATAAGTATCTACTCAAGAGAAATCAATGTGTATATTCATACAAAGGCATAAACATGAATGTTTATACCAACTTTATTTGAAATGGTCTAAAACTGGAAACAGCTCTAATATCTACTAACTGGTGAAGAGATAAACAAATTTTAATACATTCACACAATGATCTATATCACTTGGCAGTAAAAATGAATGAATCAATGATACATGCTAAAATATGGATGAATCTTAATTATGCTAAAAAAAGAAACCAGACAGAGAAAGAGTACAAACTGTATGACTCTGCTTATATATTACTTTAAAAAAAAGCAAGCTAATCTAATGACAGAGAGAAGCTCCATAGTTGCCTGGTTAGTGTATGGTTGGGGTGAAGTCAGGGAGAGAGTAAGGAGACGTGAGTAGGAAGAATGACAGGGACAAGAGGAAACTTTTGGGGTGAACATGTACGTTATCTTATGATGATGATGAAACAAAGCAAAATATCATGAGAAGCAAAATAAGCACATAATTGGTACTAACAAGGAATGCAGCTGTGGTAGGGGATGTATACTGGGTGCTGAAAATGTTCTGTGTTTCTTGATCTAAGTGGTAATAATGTTGAGTGTTCACAGTTTTTGTTAAACTGCATAAATATGTTCAATGAACATTACTATATATTTTATAGTTCAGAAAATAAACACAGAAAGAAGTACTAGAATTGACATTCATGAAGTCACCAGTGATTTTAATAAGGTTGGTTTCAATGAAGTGATGGTAATGACAGCCAGCAGGGTTGCAGAGGAAATGAATGATAACAATAAAGTTACTGGGTTTAGGCCCTTCTACAAGAAGTGTGGCTACTCAGAAAAAGGTGAACACAGGGCTAGCGAGGGATTCAAGTTCAAGTGAGGACCTCTGAGATGGAAAAGACTCAGAATGTTTATAAGCACAGGAGAAAACTAGATGACATATAATGTAGACAAAATAACTGAAGTCCTAGAGTTGGTGAGTTTGAAATCTAGACCTCATTTTCCATGTGAAAGGAACCATTTCCTTTGAAATGGATGGAAATACAGCAAGATTAGAGTCATCCCCAAAAACTTCAGAAGGAAAGGGAGGAAAGCTGGAGTTTAAAACTAACAATCTGTTTCTTTATAAGTAGAAGGCAAGAGCATCTATGAAGATGGGTAGGGAATTCTAGAAATGCAGTGATGGTCTCAAATACACAGAGATGTAAAAGAATTGCCAAAACTATTAAGAGATTAAATTAGACTGGAAGTCCTGACTTTGAATAACATTTCTTCAATGTTATGCAGTTTTTTCTTACAAAGGCTGAATTTAAGAACAGAAAGAATGGCTGGATTATTCTAGGAATGGGAGGAGATGGAAGGCAAAGGGAAAGGGAATTAAGTTGGATTTGAGTTTATCAAATTCAAATTGAAAATGCACTTCACTACATATAGTTTATGATCTTTTAACTTTGCTTCATTAAAAATAATGCTGAATAAGCTGGGCATGGTGGCACATGCCTGAAACCCCAGTAGTTTGGGAGGCTGAGGCAGGAAGATGGCAAGTTCAAAGCCAGCCTCAGCAATGGTGAGGTAAGGTCTCAGTGAGACCTTGTCTCTAAATAAAATAGGGCTGGGGATGTAACTCCGTGGTCGAATGCCTCTGAGTCCAATACCAGGCACCCACGCCCCCAAAAAATGCTGAATGAAAGAAGTACTTTAGAATAATTTTATTTGGTACACTCACTTGTATAACTCAGTCATTTGACAGGTATTATTTCATTTCTCAGGCTAAACTATTTAAAATATCAAGCTACATTTCTACCTATTAAGTAAATAAAGGAATTACAGGGTTTCCCACTATGCAAAAACATTAACAGAAATTAAATTTAAAAGCACTTTTACATGCAAAGACACAGAAGGCAAAAATCATTGAAAAGTAATTTTTAGGAGAAAAGAAGACTAAAACCTAACTACAGAATAAATCATAGGGCTGGGGTTGTGGCTCAGCGGTAGAGCGCTCACCTAGCATGGGCGAGGCCCTGGGTTTGATCCCCAGCACCATATAAAAATAAATAAAGATATTGTGTCCAATTACAACTAAAAAATAAATATTAAAAAAAAAAGTAAATCACAGGCTGGGAGTGTAGTTCAGTGGCAGAGCACTTGCCTAGCATGTGTGAGGCACTGGGTTCAATCCTCAGCACCACATAAAAATAAACAAATAAAATAAAGGCATTCTGTCCATCTACAAGTATAAAAATTTTTTTAAAAAAAGTAAATCACAAGCTTTGATTATTATATTATCAAATATTTGTATTTGTTATTGTATATTTCTGTGACATAATAGTCTGTCATCACTAACATTACTATCTTTATAGTAAACGATCCCCCCAAAGGTAATTTTTATTATGACCCAAATCTAAGAACTTTAAAGTAATTAAATAATAAAACATTTTAAACTTACTAAAAGTTGGAAAAATCATATGCTTATTGATTTAGAGTAAAGCAGAAATGAGTGATAAAGCCACTATGGTTATTTTTTTTCTAAAAAAAGAGAGACATCTTGGTTTTTAGAGATAAATGCAAAATATTTATGAACAAAATGATAAAATGTCTGGTATATGCCTCAAAATAATCTAAGGAGGGAAGGAAAAGAATTGGAAAAGAGTGGGGGTAGATGAAAGTCTACTGGCACAAGTGGTAATTGTTTGAAGCTGGAGGATCAGTATATGAGGTTCATCATACTAGCCTCTTTACTTCTGTACATGTTTGAAATTTTCTATTAAAAAAACTTAAAGTAATTAAGTAGTACAGAGTCATTTCTTAAGTAACCCAATTCTTGGAAGGACATACCTGCACACAAATGTTGGCACTTATACACCTACAGCTAGTAAAAGCAAAACAATCAATAAGAAACTAGTCTAGGTTACCATTTCTTTCAGAAGAATGTTAACATTTAGGTGATTTTATAAAGGTAATAAATGCTCATTCTACATAAAAGTCCCATATCCAGTTCTAAAATATTCTTTATAATTACAATTTCAAGTTATTAAATTCTTCTTAGTAACTGGCAGAAAAAGCTTTGTAAATTCAGCAGAGCTTTTTGGAAAAGGATATATGATGAAAAGATAATATGGTTATTGCGTACCTAACTATAATCATTGTATTTAGAAAGGTCTTTTTTTTTTTTTAAAAAAAGAGGCTTTTTAAAAACTTTATTTTATTTATTTATATGTGGTTCTGAGGATGGAACCCAGGGCCTTGCACATGCGAGGCGAGAGCTCTACCGTTGAGCCATAACCCCAGCCCCTAGAAAGTTTTTTAAAAAAAATTTTTTTAGTTGTTGATAGACCTTTATTTTATTTATTTATATGTGGTGCTGAGAATTAAACCCAGTGTCTCACACTATGCCAGGCAAGTGTCTACCACTGAGCCCCAGCCCCAGCGAGAGGTTTTTTTTTTTTATGTGGGGAAAAATATTCTTCATTCTGCAAAGAGGAAATCTAAGAGCATGTATTCTATGTAAAAAAGTCCTTATTAATAACTTGTCCGAACTTATGAATGATTGTTATAAAATTAGTGTGAATGCCAAACAAAAGTTAACATACATCTAATAATATGAGAAATATTTTAGCTTACCATAAACAACTGGATACACTGTCCCTCGTATACCTGATGCAGGACAATGCATGTTTTTTCCATTCAAATATACATTTAATTCTACATGGTCATATGTAATACCCTATGAAGGAAGGAAAAAATAAAAAAGCCCCATAAGTATTAGAAATCATGAAAGCAAGAAAATAAACAAAAACCCAAGCATAGGGTCACTTTAGTTTCCATTAAGGGTTTACAATCTGTTAGAACTCCACTTAAACTGAACTATAAAAATCAGTAGAGATTGTGTAGGGGAAAAGGCCAGGTAAGATCCCCAGCATTGACAGTGTAGCTTAAATCCTAATATTATTATTTATGTAATCTGGTTTTTATACTTTGAAAACAAAGTGACATAAGTGATGTAAGGGCTGCATGCCATAAACAGACTTTTTTTTTTAGCGGGGGGAGTACCGGGGATTGAACTCTGGGGCACTCAACCACTGAACCATCCCCAATCCTATTTTGTATTTTATTTAGAGACAGGGTCTCACTTAGTTGCTAAACACTTTGCTGTTGCTGAGGCTGGCTTTGAACTTGCAATCCTCCTGTCTCAGCCTCCCAAGCAGCTGGGATTACAGGCATATGCCACCATGTCCTGCCAAGACTTTTTAAACTCATAAATGAAACACTGTTCTTTGCTGGGTGCATGCCTGTAATCTCAGCTATTCAGGAGGCTGAGGCAGGAGGATAGCAAGTTAGAGGCCAACCTCAGCAATTTATAGAGAACTGGACTCAAAATATAATTTTAAAAAGGGCTGTGGGTATAACTCAGTGGCAGAATGTCCCTGGGTTCAATCCCCCAGAATTGCACAAGGAAAAAGAAACAACAACAACAACAAAACCCACTGTTCTCTGTAGAATTTGATCTTAAGGGAGGAAAACTCGAGGTTTTCATTATTAGGTCCTATAACCTGTTAGTGTTTTCAAGTTGTGAAGAAATGTCTTATATAACTTTATTTCCAAGAAGAAATCTACCCTGGTCTAAAAAATGTCCAGTATATTACTAAGGTAAAACTAGTTTTTGTAATTAAATAAGATTGGTAGCATCAAAAAAAAAAAAAAAAAAAAAAGTAGCTCCAAAGATTTAAAATAGGGCTGGGGTTGTAGTTCAGTAGTACAGTGCTTGCCTACCATCTGTGAGGCACTGGGTTCGATCCTCAGTAACACATATAAATAAATAAGAGTATTGTATCCATGTACAACTAAATATTACACACACACACACACACAGCTTCAAAACAAATAATGGAATAAAAGTATATTACTTTATTTAAAATTTTTTTGTAGCTGTAGATGGACAGCATGCCTTTATTGTATTTGTTCATTTATTTATTTTATGTGATGTTAAGGATTGAACCTGTGCCTCACACATGCTAGGCAAATGTTCTGCCTAGAGCTGCCACAGAGCTACAGCCCCAGCCCAAAAGTATATTACTTGTATACATTACTGATGGTGGGAAAAGAGCATAATTAGTAATAATAATTATTAAAATGCTACAGAACATTTAAGATCGCCTAGGTACTTCATATGTACTCACTTAATCCTCAAACAAGATAGATATTATTAGTCCCATTTTTATCAATGTGGTAGCTAAAGAACAGAAAGGTTAAACTTGCACAGCTAGGAATGGCAGAGCTGAGATTTAAATTTATTCAGGCTGGTTTCAAATACTTGCTTTTAAATCACCATGACATACTGCCTCTCTTTATATCTTTATACAATATAGGTTGGGCATCTCTATCTGAAACTTTTTGAGGGTTGACAATGATAGCACAAGGGAAAAATTCCACACCTGACTTTCTACAATGGGTCATAGTCAAAAAACACAGGCACACTAAAAATATTGTATAAATTACTTTTAGGCTATGCATTTCCTGTTTAGACTTGGATCTCATTCCCAAAATACCTAATTATGTATATATAAATATTCCAGTATCGACCAAAACCTCAAATCAGAAACACTTCTGGTCTCACGCAGTTCAGATGAGGGATACTCAACCTGTAGTTACTAACTAATGACAAAAAGAGATCTTTCCTTTGAAGAAGTAAGAAAAGACAACAGAGATTTTCAATTGATAAATCATTGCAAACCAAGAAGCAAACTACTTCAAGGATTTCTGAATGTGGATAAATTATATCACTTTAAAAGGTTTTTAGAGGTAGAAACAGATCTAACAGATTTAAGTCTTAACTTTTTCCCTTTCTAGATAAGATAGCAAAGGCCCAGAAAAGCCATTGTGTTAAGTGCTATACAAGTTTCTCCTCAAATTTGATCAAAGCTAGGAATAAACAATGATTTATTAAAAATTTAAAAAATTGAGAAAGATGAAGAGTATATAGATTGTCTTTGCTTCATTTTAGTTTATATATTTATATATAATAATAAAGTTAACTAATGCCCAGGATTAGTTTTTTTAATGATGAGGTCTGTTTTAAAAAAACAAAAACCTAACTATATAAGAAAAGAAAGTATGTTAATCTCTTTATGGGACTATAGGAAATGTAGCAGTTCAACAAAGTAGGTTATAATCCAGGCACCCTTCACCACTAGGTAGCAATATACTCTATTGCAAGCAAGTGAGTTTTAAATCCAAGTCTCCAGCAGAAAAACAAAACCTAGTACCAAAGAAAGGCAAAGTTTAATTTAAGTATTTTCTAACTTAATCTGTTCTTTTATGTGATCTAGAAACTGGGTTTGATTCTGCCATGATGATACTAAAAGCACATAAGAATGTTTTTCCTGTCTTATAATTCTTTCTACTTTTTGCCAACTGTTAACAATTTGGCAAAATTTCTTCTCAAGAGTTTGAACACACACACACACACACACACATATGAATAATATTTTACTTTTTGCCTTGCATATATTTCTTTTTTTAAAGATATTTTTTAGTTGTCAATGGATCTTTTATTTTATTTATTTATATGTGGTGCTGAGGATTGAACCCAGGGCCTCACACATGCCAGGCAAGTGCTCTACCCCTGAACCACAGCTCCAGCCCCGCATATATTTCTTATTTTTTAGTTCTTCTTTTATCAGAATGGGTATGGAAATTTACAGTGTAATTTAACAATGCTGACAGGCTAAAAATGACATTCTTAGATCTTTCAATCTGTGATATCAGATATCATGAATGAGATAAGATATGAAGGCAAGAGTAACACACAGAAGTTCAGCATATTAACAAAGAAAAACATTTGTTACTGATTATTCTTATGTTTGAATTTCATCTTTTAGTGTAAATAGGTTGACAGCCTTAACTCCAAAGATTTTTTTCTTTTATGAAATAACCATTTAAATAAAGATGTTCCATATTATACACATCTGGCAATGATCTATGAATATAAACAAACTACTTAAAAAAAAAACAGAACAGGGAAAGACAGGTTTTAAAACAGGTTATGACTTTTGTCTCCTTTTCTTCAACTTAGGAAAAAAAAACTTCAAACAATTAAAAACCCTGTTTTTCATATTTTTTTTTAAGTTGCAGAAGAGAAGATTAGACCACAATTAAAAATTTTAGGGCTAGGAATGTGGCTGAATGGTAGAATGATTGCCTCACATGCACAAACCCCTGGGTTCAATCTATAGTACTACAAAAATACTGAAAAAAAAAAAAAAATCCCACACTTTTCTTTTAGTCTTTCTAAAATCCTGTATAATTCAATAACCTGTATTTGTTTTGTCTGGGTCATCTTATTAGGAGAAACTTTCCTTCATTATTCAGATTCCTTTCACCTTGATAATTAGAACCAGGAACCCAAGGTTCTGTGTACAAGAGTATGTTGGTTAAATGAGACTCTAGGACTCTGTTCTCAATCAACAGCTAACTTGGCTTGGACTCTAGAGACAGGGTTCTAGGCTAACATGAGTTGAGAAGAAGTGTCTAGGAAAAAAGATGAGGTCTTTGGGTTGCATTTTTAACAAGTTGCTTTGGTAAAGAGTAAAGTAAGTCCCTTTGGGAAAGAAAATAAAGAATTCTTATAACATGTGACTCTTAACTTCTAAAAAAACCTTTTCTACAATTAAGTCTCAGGATTTTCAGTATAGTTCTCTGAAGATTTCTGAATGTGGAGGAGGTTTAATTAGATTAAGTTTAATGAAGACAGCCACTTCTAATTTAAAAATGCTGTAAATTTCAAACAGATGTTCAATAACAAATTAAGTATTTCCATTCTCAAAAATATCTACTATTTTCTAATACAAGGTCAGCAAATGTTTCAAATTGGGGCCAAGTTTTCTCTGATGTGACTTCTAGAAGTAGGAAATAGTGCTCAGCAGCCAATCTGTCACTAATCTACTTGAGAGGAAGCAAGGACTCCCTCTGATGCCCCCGGCCAGTGGCAGCTCTAGAAGGGAGAAGGTAATGAGGTAAGGCAGTGGCATCTACACCAAGTGCTCTCTCTGGAAACTGTTCCACCTTATTAGATTCAAACCCAGGCTTTGGAATCCAAACTACAAACCCCCAGGCAAAACTGTTATCTACTCAAAGCAACTCAAGTGTAACAATTTACAGGGGATAGCAGCTCTAGCTACTAGAAGACTCACCACCACGTCTCCCTCCTGTGGAAGGCTGTTTGCTGGCAGCCTGTTTTTCTCTTCATTGTTGTGATATAGGGCTCCATCATTTCTCATCACCAGACTGTGCACATCTCGGCCAAGGGGAATCTGATTCAGGTTAACCTTCTGAGTTGCAACACCAATACCCCATATTCCTAAAAATACAATGGTTTAAATGCCCCCCAAATCGAAAGAACGCAAATATAAAAGTCATTTTAAAAGGGAGCATAAACTGTTTTTTATTAAGAAGTATCACATTATCACTAAACTCTTTTCTTTGAATCTTTAAAAAAAATCTTTTAAAAGTAGTTTGCAAAGTGTATGTTTTCTACAGATAAGATGCAGCCTAGGAGATAAGCATTGTACTGCTAAAGTTCATATCTTGACCTAGTTATGTTATACTGAGCGAATTAATTAATGGCTGATTCCTCATCTGTGAACTGTGGAGTCTAAAAGTACTCACTTTATAGAGTTAGGAAAAGATAAGATCCAATAAACCAACCAAAATAGTGAAGTATTAAAAAAAAAGTGTGTGTGTGGGGGGTAAGTATTATGTATAAAAAAATGCCAGTTATTGCATTATTCTTCTCTTTTTTAAAATATTTATTTTTTTAGTTATAGGTGGACACAATATTTATTTTATTTTTTTGTGGGGCTGAGGATTGAACCCAGTTCCTCACGCATGCAAGGCGAGCGCTCTCCCTCTGAGTCACAATCCCAGCCCCCATTACTCTTCTCTTAAAAAATATTTTTTAAATGCTACAGGGCTTGGAGTATAGCTCAGTGGTAAAGCACTTCCCTAGCATGCACAAAGCCCTGAGTTTTGAATTTATACAAATACACATTGAATTTAAGTGGTCTGGAGTTCTCTCAAGATTACCTCTCAGTGAAAGATTACTGTCTTCAGTTTTTGCATCTATAAAAAGTGACAAATAATGTATATTGTTAACAATATAATGGAGAGAAGAAAAATCAATGATAAGGTATAAAATTATTTCCTTATTAAAAGTTGAAGTCAGTGAATTAAAATCTTTTGGTCTAAGTTGACTTTTGAAACAGCAGCTTTCCTTTTAACAGGCCGAACAGAATACTTATATTTTTATCTCAAACTGCTTCCATCTCATTTTTTATAAATCAGGAGAAATTCTATACATGGAAAAAGGTTTAAAGACCATGTTCTCTTGGGGCTGTGGTTGTGGCCCAGCAGTCGCCTAGCACATGCGAGGCGCTGGGTTCAATCCTCAACGCCACATGAAAATAAATAAATAAACCAGGTGTGGTGGCACATGCCTGTAATCCCAGCAGCTCGGAAGGCTGAGGCAAAAGGATGGCGAGTTCAAAACCAGCCTCAGCAATTTAGAGAGGTGCTAAACAACGCAGTGAGACCCTGTCTCTAATAAAATACAAAATAGGGCTGGGGATGTGGCTTGGTGGTCGAGTGCTCCTGAGTCCTATTCCTGGTACCCAGCCCCCCCCCCAAAATAAAATAAATAAAATAAAGGTATTGTGTCCAACTACAACTAAAAAAAAATAAAATAAAAAAATAAGACCATGTTCTCAATATATTAATTTTTTTGGATTGAGTGAGACCATCAGAAACTTGCATGTCTAAACTTCACCATCTTGGCCTTTGAAATAATATGACCATATACTTTGTCCTCCAAAGTAAGACTGTTATGAAAGTAACAGGAGGTGACAATACTAAATTCACAGGATTACACTTGCAGACAGGGTTCTACAGTCTCCTTACTCCTAAAGAACTGTGCACAGCTAGGTTTGGTGGTACATGCCTATAATCCCAGGGGCTCAGGAGCCTGAAGCAGGAGGATCACAAGTTCGAGGTCATCCTCAGCAGCTTGTCAAGGCCCTAAGTAACTTAATGAGACCCTGTCTCAAAATAAAAAATAAAGAGGATTGGGGTGTGTCTCCTGGGTTAAATCCCTGGTACCAAAACAGTAACAAATTCAACAGAACAAAACAAAACAAAAAGCCTCAAACTGTACACAATTGCCTCAAGCTTTCAACATAGGATCAATGCTACAAACTCCAACAATCCATTTATCCTAGGGATATCATTAGGGATGAGATCCTTCACAGAAAATCCACATAAAAATTTTTATTATATTTAAGGCTCAAGCTACTTAGTTTTCTTGAGAAATAAGTGTGTTACACTTGAGAACATTATAGTAACCAGGAATATTTTGCAGCCAGTGAGCTAACAAATGACAGATTCAGATTTATATAGTCCTTTAAGAAAAATCACTATTTAAAACTAATATAGAGGGGCTGGGGTTGTAGCTTAGTGGTAGAGTGCTTGCTTAGCATGTGTGAAGCCCTGGGTTCAATTCTCAGCACTGCAAATAAAAACATAAAATAAAGGTCCATTGATAACTAAAACATATTAAAAAAATAAAAACTAATATAGAAAACAAGACAGGCAAGATGGTACACACTTGTAATCCCAGCTACCTGGAGGGCTGGGGCTGGAGAATTATAAGTTTTAGGCCAACCTCAGCAATTTAGCAAAAAAGGAAGGAAGGGAGGAAGGGAGGGAGGAAGGAAGGAAGGAAGGAAGGAAGGAAGGAAACAAGCCCCAGAAGGATATTCTGTATTATTTTATATTATTATATTATTCAAGGAGTAATAGAGGAATTATTTACTCCTATTATGTGATAGAGTCCTATCATATGCCTGAGTAAATAAAATGGTGAATTTAAAACCTCTTAATAATGCTACTATCTTATATTTACTCAGCATACTCAGTAAGACACTTTCATACTTTTTTCTCACTTTCTGTGAGGGAGGGAAAAAGACAGCTCTTATAATCCTATTTTATAAAAGAGAAAACGGAATCTAATTTAACAAAATTGACTAATTTAACCAGGATCACACAATGACAAGTGGAAGATTCAGGTATTCTAAGAAAGAGTTTGGAACCTTTTTTTATTACCTACTGAATCTTTTTCATATATTTAAAATTTTTCTTAATATTTAGAACAATTAAGACCTGAAATAATAAAGTGCCATTATACTAACCTGTAGACTGGATTTTGAATTCAAAGTAGCTTTTGTTTTGATGTAAAGGTGCACTGGCTAAACAACCTCCTGTTCCACATATTCTTCTTCCATTTTTTACAATGACAACATCTGTTCCTAAACAAAAAATGCAGACACTATATAAAGTTTTATATTTTCATATTCAACAACTAGAGTTAATTCATTCACTTCTAACACTTAGTTCACAAAAAACAGGGTTGTTATAAGTACTCTGAAATATAGGAATACTGATCAATAACTTTAAATACTTAATTCACTGTTTAAAATAATTCACTGTTTTATTATATAGAGAACATTTCTATATAATATTCATTTGTAGCTATAAGTCTTGGTTAATTAAGTTGTTTCAAATAAACTTTAATAACTTTGTATTATGCTGAATATTTAAAATTCTTGTAAGGAAGAAATAGACTAACTCATTTAGTTTTTAGCCAATAAATAAATTGGATAATTTCATAAATATTTTGAAGACATAAACACAAGAAGGTTTAGTAAATTAGTGCAATTTTTAATTCATTCTATCCAGGTGAATTAAATCTACTAATACCAACAGAATGTCTACTAAGAACAAGACACTATACTAATGCATCAGTCAAGTAAGCATTGAAGAGTACACAGAATATGGAAAGGAACACATATCTATGTTGATACAGCTGACACTGAAAAATGTCCCTTTTAGGATCTCCCGCCCCCACTTTTAGGATCTTAAAAGGTTTGTTTAGCTAGCTACTGTCCATCACATGGCTATATGTAAACAGGTTTTAACATCAATAAACACTCTTTCTTCTCATTGAAAATTTTAGTTTCAGCTCAGATAATATTTATAGATGAGAGAAAGAAAAATGCCATCTCCTCATATGTGACTCCTCTACGGATTTGTTTCCAAACCTTGGTTTAGGAAAGCATGTATATCAAAGAACATTAAGAGACAACATAAGTCTAACATGTAATAAATATCCTTTAATACAAAGGGATGTGAGTCCCAAAGCCTGTGGCCAATATTGCCATCTCACTGGCAAAAAGTGCATAAAACAAAGCATATCTAGATATGAGAACTGTATGAGATTCATCCAGAAGTGTTAAATAAAACTACCAGTTTTAGAAGACTGAATTCATATTTAAAGAAAAAACTATTTGGCAAAAACACATAAGAGAAATGCAAAAAAAAAATTAGATTCTATCATTCTCTCTCTTAAGGTTAACATTTAGATTCTATCATGATTATTAAACATATATTAACATCTATTATTTTATAATTAAAAATGTTAAAACCAAATTCTGAGAAAGAATCATAAATAATTTGTATCTGGCTATCCTACATACTTTTTCTTTTTTGGTACCAGGGATAGAACCCAGGGGTGCTCAACCATTGAGCCACATCCCCAGCCCTTTTCACCTTTTATTTTTGAAGCAGGGCCTTGCTAAGCTTTTTAGGGCCTTGCTAAGTTGTTGAGGCTGGTTTTTGAACTCGCTATCCTCCTGCTTCTGCTTCCCAAGTCATTGGGATTAAAGGAGTGCACCACCGCACCTGGCTACTCTACATACCTCTGTAGTTGCAACTGGAGAGCATTCTCCCTGATGGCAAAGACCCTGCAGTGTTTGGCATCTAGTGGATGCTCAGCAAATTTGTTCAATGAATGAATAAATAAGCTGTGCTAAATAAGCACTTTGTAGAGGACATGTAGCATGCTTTTCCTTTCTGGATATACTTCCCCTGGGATCAAACAATTCCAAGGAAGATGATTCAATCTCTGACTTCAGGGTACAGCATTTGATCTAGGTTAAGTCAATCAGTAAAATCCAAATTTCGTGGTTACAGTGATAAATCAAGAGTGGTCATGTGATATAACAAAAAACAATTAGAGACTAGGTGTGAGGATTTTTGCAGAGAAGTATGGAAATAAAGACACTTTCATTCATCCAGGCCCCAGCTACTCTGGAGGCTGAAGCAGATGGATCACAAGTTCAAGGCTAGCCACAGCAACTTAGGGAGACCCTGGTCTCAAAATAAAAAGTAAAAGAACTGGAGATATAGTTCAGTGGTAGAGTGCCCCCAGGGTCAATCCCCATTACCTCAAAAACAAAACAAAGAAAGACACTCTCATTCTTTTTATATCTGAATGAGGAAGCCTACAGCCCAGGCAGCTGCTTCAAGGGTTCTTGGAAGTTAAGCTTCAGGAACAAATAACAGAAGTTAGAGGAAAGAAATGAAAAGAAACCAAGTTGTTGGTAGCACTGAGTCTTTCCTGAAGCCAGGGCTCCCTTTGTACTTTTCAATTACAAGTACTAATAAATTTCCTTCACTATTTAAACAATTCTGAGTTGTTTTTTTCACTACCCGCAACTGAAAGCATCCTTATAAAACATATTTCCAAAGATTATACAAACAAATGGTAAATTCTTTTTCTTAACCGGCAGTGAGTGGTCTGTGGTTCTCCCACATTACTAAAACCTTTTAATAACCAGCTTCTATAATAGATAACTTAATGTCTTGGATTTCATCCTTGCTAAGTTAATAGAAATACAAGACTTTCAAAACAATATAGTCTGCCAGGTGTTGGTGGTGCATGCCTGTAATTCCAGCAGCTTGGGAGACTGAGGCAGGAGATCCTAGGTTTGAAACCAGCCTCAGTAACTAAGGGAGACTCTATCAACTTAGCAAGATTCCTATCTCAAAATAAATAAATAAATAAATAAAAGCAGTTCAGTGATTAAGTGCCTTTGGGTTCAATCCCTGGTACCAAAACAAAACTAAATAAAATAATATAGTCTGCTCTCAGGGTTGAAATCACAGAAACAACTCTAACATGGTATTCTCTTATTTCAATATTATTTTTTCTGGGCTGGGGCTGTGGTTCAGTGGTAGATCGCTTGCCTGGCATGTGTGAGGCACTGGGTTCAATCCCCAGCACCACATAAAAATGAAATAAAAGTACTGTGTCCACCTACAACTAAGAAAAATACATATTTAAAAACTAATTTTTATCTCCACAGCATTCTGTTAGGCACTGAGATGTTTTATATAGAAAAATGAATATGTTCAGAGAACATTCTGGGCCATTTGTGAATCACTGGGGAATCATTTTAAGCTTATTCCATTTCTCCTTACTAAGTAAAAAGATACTCTGTATTTGGATCTATGTGATATGCGTAGTTTTGGAAAGTCAAGTCCAGAATATCATAGAAATACGGCCACAGAGTATGTTTTAGAAACATTAGAAATTTCCAATCATGTAACATTCCCTTACAAGTAGTAGTCATGGGAGACACTGATTTCTAAAAAGTTAATCACGATTAAAAGCAGCAAATAAGGCATCAAAGAAGACATTCACAAAAACTATGCCACAGAAATTCCAAAAGAGGAACATCATCAAAATAAGTGACTACGCTAAAGGAGGTATCATTTAGATATGATATGTAATAGACTATTTAAAAAAAAAAAATCAAAGCCAGGCAGTGAGTGGCATGTGAGAGGCTGAGGTAGGAGGATCACTTGAGCCCAGATCAGCCTGGGCAACAAAATGTGACCCCACTTGCGGGGGTGGTTAGCCATCACATTCTTTTTTTTTAATATTTTATTTATTTTTTAGTTTTTGGCGGACACAACATCTTTGTTTGTATGTGGTGCTGAGGATTGAACCGAAGCCGCACGCATGCCAGGCGAGCGCGCTACCGCTTGAGCCACATACCCAGCCCCACATTCTTTAGGTTATCTATATAACATATCCAAATACATGCATATTGGCTTATATTTTCAAATGAAGATCAACATGTGCTTGAAACTCTCCTCTCATTTTTTTCAAGTTCTCAAATCAGGCTTCTTTGGGATTAGAGAACTTGAATTTACTAAAGACAGGTAACGAAAAAACTTCCATGCACATAGAAAATCTGATGATGGGATCACTCTACTATATTTGTAGCTTAAAAGGGCTGGGCAGCGTTGGGGAAGGCAAACAGTGGAATGAGTATAACCTGTTTCTCCTACATAAGACATAGGCCAGAAAAAAAGGAATGTTCTAGAGTACACTGCTGAGATTCAAAAGTCTGACAGTAGAGAAAGGAAGAAGAGCTACGGCTGCTTTAAGTTGCAGAAGCAATATATGGTTGCCCTTTACTGTATCCCCAACAGTTAAAACAATGTCTGCCATTTGTCACAAAATAAACATCACTTCAGTAAATCAATAAGTGAAATGGAAATGTTTTCAGACAGGATCTGAATATCCACTGTCTATAAATACATTGATAAATAACAGATATTTATTTATAATGAGGTTCTGCACTACATGTGAAAGATCTAAGAACTGAAAGCTCTGTAAATACCATCATACAAGGTAGTAAACAATTATCACATATAGTACGTGCTATCAAAATATAATGGAAAACGGTTCCAGAATATAAAGAATCTGAGCAATAGAGTTGTGTTATACATATTAAGAACTGTCTTCATTATTTGTCTTTGTTATACAATATACTTTACACACGAGACATTTGAAAAGGCAGAAGTATATTTAGACTAAAATAATTCATATTATTGTAGCTTAAAGGGGCTGGGCAGCGTTGATTTTAGTATCCTAACTAAAATCATCATATTGGAAAATCTCTCCTGCTTGAACCATATATTCTAGACTATACGGAACAGTAGGTGGTAAAAGAGGCTACGTAGGGGAGAGGAAAAATGTTAGACGAGAACTTACTGGCGGGGGAAAAAACACTGAAGCGATGGAGCAAAGTGCTGACTTATTTTGCAATGCCTAACCTATTGGGATGACGCCAGTTAGATAAAATTACAGTACTTCCAACAGTGACTAAGGGAGAATCTAGCAACGGGAGCTTTTAGTCGAAATAGCATGTTCTGACCTGAGGTGCGACTTCAGGCTTCTGCAATCTGCCTTGTTTTGACTTTGGGAGGTGAGGGTGGAATTGCTTCCAAAAAACCCCAAGCTTCATCCTATACGTGATGGGGCTAAAGTGAAACAACCGATTGTCAGGGCAGAAGACCCTAACGCATTCCGAAAGTGTGCGAGTCCTGAGAGGCGTGCCACACGCGAACGCGGTGAGGGCGCCTCCGCTCCCCTCGCCTGGGGACACCTGACACCTCAGCAGGAGGCAACTCAAGGAGCAGGTCAACACACCCACTCCCGACGCCAGCCAGGGAAGGCTGCGCAGCCTTGAACACAGCCCGGCCCGATGGAGGCGGCCAGCGACAGGCGAACTCCGCGAGACTAGAGAGAGGGTGCCGCGGCAGCGAAGCCGGGCGAGGCGGGGTCGGAAGCCTGGGCGACGCGTGGTCCCTCCGACCCCCGCCTTGCCTCCCGCCCGCCGCCCCCAGCCTGGGGCCGTTGGGTATGGGAAAGCGAGGGCCCTTACCCATGTGCTGCGTGTCCAGCTGCACAGCCGGCATCTCCTTCAGAGGGATGTGGCCAGTCCCGCCGTCTCTGCAGCACCGCAGGCAGCACAAAACCGAAGCGGCCATCGCGCAGGGACCACCGCTCCGTCGCCGCCACCGCCCCTATATCGCGGCGACACCGCCCCTCACCGTGCCGCCCCGCCTCCTGTCCCCGCCCGAGCGCAAGCGGCGTGTGGGGCGCAGAAGCTGGCACAGCGACGCCCCTGGCCCGGAGGCGCAGCGCAGGCTGATGCTAGCCGGGCCGGGAAGGAGTGGAGGATAGGCGGGCTGGGCCGGGGAGGTGGGCGGAGTTAGTGGCGTGAATGGATGGAAGAGGGCGTGGCGGGCGTGCGGGAGGCGGTGTGCGCCTGCGCACCGGGTGGTTTTCTTCCCCCCCCACCTTGGGCGGCTTCACGCCCACCCCTAACGTTGACCGGTGAGGCTGTCCCTCTGCACCGTCGCGGTTTCTTGTATGAGTTTTTTTTTTTTTTTAGTTCTGTTCTGTTCTTTTTTTTTTTTTTAAAGATGGGGTCTCGCTATATTGCCAGACGGGTCTTGAATTCTTAGGCTCCCGCGATCCTCCTGCCTCAGTCTGCTGTGTAGCTGGGACTATAGGCGCGCGCTCTCCGCCCGGTTGGATGTCATGTTTTTAAAACTGTGCCTTTTTGCTCCACCATTATTTAACGCGCGGATTGACAGAAACAGGCCAGGACTATGGGGAGCTATTCAGAGTGACCTCCGAGGTTTCCCTTGTTCACCCAGGCCTGAGCAAGCTGTGCCTCCTAGGAGAGTCTATGTACTTCTCCAGGGGTTGGTTTCTGAAGAATTTCCGAACATGCTAACTGACGCACACGGGTGCCAGGAGAAAATGCCTTTTGGTGATTGCACTGTGGAGTACAAGCGGGGCCCCACTGCATTTTAGGTACAGAGACGTACACGTACATTCCCTGTCCGTTGGTGCTGCGTGATCCGGGGCGCCCTAGGAGGGGACCCAGTGGTCGCTGCGGGAGGGCGACTCTTGACGGGTCTCTTTCAAGCACAGGTGCATTGACGATTCCAAGTGAAGGGAATCCTGGAAGCTGTGGGAAGACTACTTGGACCCCTATGGAACCCCTCTGTACCTACCGTCGCTCGTTCTACTCCTTTTTTTTAAAAAAATTAATTAATTTATCTTACTTAGGTATATATGACAGCAGAATGCATTTTGATTCATTTTACACAATTGCAGCACAACTTTTCATTTCTCTGGTTGTATGCCACGTAGAGTCCTACCATATGTGCAGTCATACCTGTACTTCGGGTAATGATGTCCATCTCCTTCCACCATCTTTCCTGCTCCCATGCCCCCTCCCCGTCCCTCTCTCCCCTTTGCCAATCACAGTTCCTCCATTTTTTTCCCATTCCCCTCCACCCCATTATGGATCAGCATCCACTTTTCTTCCAAGTAGAAGGCCACGTGGCTGTCAGTTGTCATCTCCTTCCCCCTTAGACCATTCTTCTTTGGTAGATTTTACACTTCATATACCATAAAAACCACTAAAGAAAATCCTGAGCTTGATGATGAACTACACTCTGATATACCACTTGGCGTCTGGAGATGATCTGGGAAGGCCTTTAGAATTAACTGAGCTCAAATACCTATTCCCAGATCAGGTTTCCATCCTGAAGGCCTCCCTGGGGCTCATCAAGACCTAGGCAAGGAACAGCACATAAATTTCCATTACTTAACGGATACCTGTACATAACTTTTTAGTCAATTGAGTACAAATATACTTTATGGAGGATTTTTATCCATTGAATAAGGAAAATTTTTCAGGCCCCTGAGTCTGTTTTCTCCATATAAAAATGATGTTTTCGTTACAGTACTAAGGAAAATTTCCCAAGTTTTGTACTTTGAGGTTTAGTTCCCATAGGATTAATTGCCAAACAGATTGAGGGTTCTCTCTCCATCCCAACATTCTGCCTATGAAGTATGTTTCTTGGTAATCATTGTACACATGAATTTTTCTTTTACTGAAAACCTTGACCTTTCTAGAAATTTAGTGATACAGTTTTTTTCTTCTTCTTCTTCCAGGGGAGAAGGGTACTTCATAGAATGTTGGAGATGTTTCTGCCTTTGTACTGGAAGGTAGGCAGTCTTTTCACATATTTATCTAACTGAATTTTTGCAAGTTTTGAAGATCAGTACTATCCTTATTTTATAGTTGAAGAAATAGGCTTAGAGGAATTAAATAACTTATGCATCTTCAGATGAGTGAGAAATATACCAGGTAGGATTCAGAACTCACTAGCCTGACTCCTAAGCCTTGGTTCCGTCAGATAATGCTGCCTCTCAAATTCTCAAGTTCTAACTTGTAAGTCTCCATGCTCCATAAAACAGTCATCACTTGTATATAGACAATATATAAAACAAAATTAGTTGTAAGGTAAAAATTTTTGTTTGGAACTATTATTAAAAGTAGTATATGCATTAAGTACGTAATAAACATTTAGGCCATTCAGGTCAGTAACATCTTCAGTGAAAAACCAGAATAGTAGATGGCTGTGAATTAGCCCTTAACGTAGAGAGGCAGAAGTGCCATAGTCTTTTCTGTCTGGAAAAGTAATTTGCCCACTGCACTTTGCCCTCCTGTCCCAAGTCAAGTGTACTCAGCAGAATAAAGCAAGCAAAACCGGTTAGCTCCTGAAACAGATTCCCTATCTTGGCAGATGAATGCCATCTGTGAGCTCATGGACTTTTTTCTTCTTATGTCTGGGATTCTATTATCCTCTTTTTATTACTTTCAAATAGTTATCCTTTCTCTTTGAAAAGCACAGTGTTGGGCTGGGTTTGTGGCTCAGTGGTAGAGCACTCCCCTAGCACGTGGGAGGCCCTGGGTTCGATCCTCAGCACCCCATAAAAATAAATAAATGAAATAAGATGATATTGTGTCCAACTAAAAAATAAATATTTAAAAAAAGAAAAGCACAGTGTTAAAGATATTTTCACAGTCTTTCACAGCTAACACTTTAAATAATAATCATGAATCCCTACAAAATGTTTCTTAATAGTTAGAATGCTGTTTATCTAAGTCAAAAGCAATAACAAAGAATCACTACTGGGGGAGAAAAGTCTGCTTAGGTGACATATGCCAGGAACTGGAGAACTGATAGGACAATAATGTAAAGCATGTATTTCATAGTGTAGTTTATCATCATGCTCAAGATTATTTTTAGTGTTTTTTTATGGCAGGCAGACATCTCCTACTCACACTCTGTACTGGGTCATACAAAGTGGTTTCTTTCTTAAGAACTTATTAATCAGTTATTAAGTCAAACATCTTTTCTTATTGTAATCTAAATCACATTTTCAGGTGCCTGAAAATCATAACATTACAAATGACATTCTAAAACATGATCTAGTCATTATTATAAATTGGAGTAATATAACTGACAACGCCCTGGGTTCAATCACCAGCACCATTAAAAAAAAAAAAAAGAAAGAAAGAAAAAGAAAAGAATACAGACCAAGAGCTAGACCTCCTGTTTTTAATTCAGTTTCATTCTTCATTGACTGTGACTTTGGGGCTGCTGACATGAATCCTACAAAATGTTTCTTAATAGTTAGAATGCTGTTTATCTAAGTCAAAAGCAATAACAACTTTGTGAGGGAAAAGCTATCCTTCACTTTATAGAAAAGGAAACTGAAACGAAGTAAAGATAGAAGATATACCCAAAGTCACAGTCAATGAAGAATGAAACTGAATTAAAAACAGGAGGTCTAGCTCTTGGTCTGTATTCTTTTCTTTTTCTTTCTTTCTTTTCTTTTTTTTTTTTTTTAATGGTGCTGGTGATTGAACCCAGGGCGTTGATGCATGCATCAACTTAGCTATATCCCCATCCCTGTATTCTTAATCACTATGCACATTATGCAAACTGCCTAGGTTGCTACATTTAAAAATAGGTTTCTAATTTTTTGTTTGTTTCCTTCTAATGCCTTGCCTCAGAAATTGACATTTAAATTTATCTGGGATTGACCTGGGGATGTAGCTCAGTGGTTCAGAGCACATGGCCAGTATGTATGAGGCCCTGCGTTTAATACACACCTAAAAACAAAAATAAACCAGAAAAACTGGTGTTAATTGCATACATTTAGTCTATTACTGAATAATAAAGTATGTTACCTATATTCAACAACCAAAAGTAAATGAGAAAAGTAAAACAAGAACTCTATACTTCAATAGACTGCCATTAGTTAGTTTGCAGCTGTACTCTGTCAGCAGCCCCTTTGAACTGTTTGGCAAGACTGTCCTCAAAGGGTGGCTCTAAAGAAAGATAGAAAGGATATTTAGTACTTTTAATTGCTTAGTCAGTTAAGCCAGGTAGGAGACTTGGAAAATACAGAGATTTGGCATTAGAAAGAGAAGAGAAGATGGAATAAAGGAATTTGAAAAATAAACAACAACAACAAAAAAATAAGAACAATACAGGGTAGAGCAAAAAAAAATTTATATTGAAAAAGAAGAGAAGCTGGGCATGGTGGTGTATACCTGTAATCCCAGTGATTTGGGAGACAGAAGCAGGAGGATCACAAGTTCAAAGACAGCCTCAACAATTTAGGGAAGCCCAGTCTCTAAATAAAGAAATAAAAAGAGCTGGGGATGTAGCTTAGTAGTTAAGTACCCCTGGGTTCAATCCCTGGAACCAAAAAAAAAAAAAAAAAAAAGAAGAAGAAGAAGAGAAAGAAACCAATAGCTAGTGGGAATAAAAAGTATGTTTTACTACCCCAAATTTTCAGCCAAACAACTGTTCCTGCTTCCTTCCAGTGGAAGATAAAGTAGGCAGTCATCAACCAAGGGGAATTCTGCAGATCTCTGCTCAACCTCCAGTTCCCCCACTCAAAATACAGGCATCCTAGATATCTAAATATATTTTCCTCACCAATTTAGATTCCAAATACTACTGTGGCAATAATTAGGAAACAGGAACATTGAGGATACAAAAAGGAGGCAAAAGGTCATTATCAAAGTAGGTTTTTCATTCTCAAGAGATATGAAGGAAGATGATGGTAAGTACAGTTAGTTCTTAGATCTTCCCTAGTTATCTATTTGTTGAGAGGGCACTTAAACTTGTGGCGTGCCTACAAAGAGTTGATGAGAAGTGTTTTTGTTTGTTTTTTT